GAACGTGTTACCAAACTGGCTAGCAATATTCGTCATTCACCCGTCGCAAATGGTCTTAGTTTTCAAAAGGGGAACTGAAATTACAAAGTTCAAAATTTCCAAAGGCAACATAGACCAAAAATAAATGTGTAAAATAACAACGATATTCTTGTATTTCACGATTCACTTGCAGACGAAAGTAAGACGTCCCTAAGGTAGCTCTGCAGGCATCATATTGACGATGGGTATGCACATATTCATCCGTGGCCAACAACGTAAGATGAGCTAACACCAAAGTACCTATTAATAATCCAGTATCGTAGTAGGCTCATTTTATTAGTGGCAATTAGTCAGCCATTTCTGAAGCAGTATAAGCGCTATCTAAACCAGCAGTGTCGACGATGGCCACAGTATATCGTCAGTCTGGCAGAATGATGACCTCGATGATGAGTAAATCGTTTTCGTATAATGACCAGCGCAGCTTTTCTATATCTAGACGCGTGTGTGTGTGCGTGTGCTTGTGCATCAGCTTCTCGGTACTCAGGTGCGTCGTGCAATCAGCGCAGACGTTACCTATAATGGGTTAAACGGCAGCAAAATGGACAACGTAACGCGCGCGCGCCAGTAACCAAGGCATGCTATTAATACGCCGGCCGGCAGACAAGCCGTTTGTCATTTTTGCCTCATTTATTTGTCTATCCTTCCGTAGTGGACTGTCTGACTATTTGACTACACAGCATCGTATTGCCTGAGATTATGTTATGAAGTCAGGCAATAACAATAGTCATTTTGCTACTTCTAGTAGAAGTGGTAATCTATAAACAAGAGTGAATTTCTGAAACTAACAGTGCGGCATCATTTTCAGAATGGTAGCTGGTTACAGTGCCAGCGATCTTATTAATACAGAGCCTGTCAGTTAACTGCTATTTTGCATCTATCTTTTACCGGCTATATAAATGCTGTTACCTCAATGGTTGCCCTTAATGGTGCGTACCGCGTGCTACTCTAATAATAATAACGATAATGACAACATCAACAAGCATAAAACGGGAAAAAATCCCTCAAGAGATTCTATTAGTGAATTTATTCTTACTGAAGTATTGCACCGCCAGAGGGTAAGGGCCATCTTACAAGGGTACAAGGCCGCTAACGGCGACCGTTAGCGGCCTTGTACTACGGTCAGATTCTCTCAGCGTTAACTTCGCCGTAAAACGTGTACAATAGTGTAAAGTGACAATTATAGCAACCGCGATAACAATAACGGAAGATACTCAAAATGATAACAGCTACAGAAACCACAACTGAAACGGGAATAGATAGATGGTATCGTCACGTAATTAAAGCAATGCTGGCTATTTAACGTACTATATTGTACATATATCTCAGATTAGGGGAAAAGACTGCATGTACGTTTGAATAGATAGGACGTTGACTACGTTTACATACCTCTTTCGTGCGTCGTGTCTGACAATTGTTAAGGCTGGCGTATACTCTTTCATCGTAGCCTAATCTGTTCATGCGATATTTTTTCTATGGTCGGCTTGACGTCAGTCTGCATGAGAGTCTGATGCTCCACTGATCTTCCTGTTATATTTTCCATGATTAGCCTTAATGTTAGAACGCTGGTGTTGGCATACTAATCCAGGTGCCTATACGATGCTTTCACTCGCCAACAAATGCTTTGTTGTCGGTTAAAGTGCGTTAACGCGATTTGTCTAAACAAAAACATTGAGGATCGCGGAGGCTTCCGGACAGGGAATTCGTATATCGTCTGACGTTTTCGTACGTTTGTTTTCTGCGATTGCATGAACACTGTACACGGACCAAAGAAGACTGTTCGAGCAGTGTAACTGTACGTGAAACTGTGTGTGTCGCGTTATAGGATCGTACGTGGCCTCGCATTGCTCGTATAGCGCTTTTACCATATTTGTTTGTGCTTTCTTAAGCTCGCCTAAAAACAGGACCAGAAAATAGTGTTCTTGTGTACGTGTACGAAGTAGCTCAAGTGTGGTGTGATCCTTTTCGTCGACAGTTGTATCGTCAGTTTCTTTAGCAACGAAGCGACTATGTTTCTACGAACCTAATGGTCACATGGAAGATAAGCGCCGCTGCAAACTTGCAAATGCAATATATAGCTACTATGAGCAGGTGCCACGTTTCCTTCCAGCTAAACAAACAAGCCACTTTAAATAAACACTTTCATAATTGGACAAACAGCGCGAGAGCCGGCACTGTTTGCTATTATCTTACGTACTTCTGTCTTGACTCCCCTTGACAATATCATTTGGTAGAATGAAATCGAGCATAATCAAGTTTATATATGTACACTACGCTGCTGACTTACATACCTAGTGGACGTTAGATCGAAGTACGGAGGATCGGTGTGGTTGACGTGGACAATTTCAAAATAAGGCATCATAGGTAGATCTGCCCGATCGCTCGTAAACCAACCCAAACTCAATAAGTCGGACGTCCAATCACATTTTCCAAGTAAAAATCTTGATAAAGCAAATTCTGTATTGAATAAGAGAAACGCAGTTATCTACGAAGCGCCTAATCGTAGTTCCTTGCGCAAACGATTTCGCTTCGATATAGTCACTGTGGCTGGGGCTGATTGGTTAGCTCTGTTGCTAATCGGCGACTTAAATATAAGGTACTAAAGATGAACAAGTAGCAGAAATTCGAAAACAAGAGCCATCAACATCGCAATAAACAATTTTACCATCTGCTTCCCTTTTTGTTTCCTGCTTCAACAAAGGGCTATATTAAAAAATAATTCTTCAGCGGTAGATACCAATTTTTGTTGCTGTAATGGGTGGTATTTTAGTTGTCATGTTGTCACGCTCGCAGTGAAGTGCAAAAAGATAAGGAGCGCAATTTTGTGTGGCGACAAGAACCTACTATGTAAAAGGCGCACATTTAAGAACGTATTCGTATAACATTGAATAGGTTGGCGGCAAAATGAAGGAAACACACGACCGGGCTAACGCTGCGTTTGCTGCTGCAGCTGCTTGGCTAGCGTGAAATGGTGCACGAACAAAAGTAAATACCGCCATATTACGTTGATCGTCTCGATCGTCGTTTTACCGGCCGTCGTTCCCGGTTTGGGCCGTTGTTGACCCTGTGGGGCGGATATCTTTCGAACGGCCGAACCTACGACACAGTGTAGGGCAACGGGACCAAAGTCCTTCTTTGTACTCCCTAACTACCGTCGTAGACCAATAGTTTACTTCAACTATGACACACAGGACATACCGTCCGATCCCTCAGCATAGCGAAACGTGAAGGACGTTGACGACGAATATCGTCGAGGTCTTGGTGCGCGGATAAAAGCAGTTTTCAGAGCTCCGTTCGGCTCTGATGTTTTCTACTAGCTGTCTTTCATCTTTCCTCTCACCGTTGATTCTACCTATGTGGATTCGAGAGTCAACGAACGAACGACATTTCCGGTCACATCGAAGATAGCTGGAAAAGCTAAGGAGACAGCTGACAGGCAAGACTATATATCTGTCAGTAGGCGCATAAAGACGCGAACGTACCTTACGAAAGGTCCGTGTGGAAGCAGAGCATGGTTCCTAAAAACAGAAAACAGTAGGAAACCCATATTTTCCGAGTGAAACCACCAGAGAGAGAAGGACATAGAAAGCTCAAAGCACGTTCAAAAAAAAGATCCAGAATTTCTTAAAGGCTGACAATTGGTGATAGCAGTAGCAGTGGTATAAGTAATATATATAAGTATCAGTATACGTTTAAAAGGTTTAGAAGTTTATCGTCAAGAGGTATTGTTCGCTCCGTACTGCTAGCCATGGCATTTGGGCTTCGAAACATGGAAGGACATACATGCCATACAACGTAGAAGAAAACGCCTACAGATGAACTATGTTTAATTGCAGATATATCAAATGGTAACACTTGAAGAAGGTGGTAGAAGTAGAATAGTGAGGTAACTTGGGTCTGCTAAGGAATTCAAGTAGCTAAATGTATATTGTACACGACTCTTTGAAACTAAGCAGCGAAGCTTATAAAAAGGAGTGAGGAGCACTGAGTCGCACAATTTGCGCAAAGCTTTACTCAATCATTTTGCCGATGAACATAGAAAATATTCGTTTCGAAATAAAGCTGGGGTTACTGAATGCTAGACTATGAGAGAATCAATTATGACGAAGGCTATCTTAATTAAATGACCTTATCTTTGAATGATATGCTACTGTATGTGAATTGTCGTACTTCCTTCATTTTCTAACAAATGGTGGAATTTGCCAAGATTATGAAAGGAAGAACAATTTGCCAAGTCAATCTTGGGCAATAAATCTATACATATAAAGTGGAATAACTAATTTCTTACGAAAAACGGATACAAGAAATGGTCTTGCGTCTAGAAATGTCCCAGTATATGAAATCATTTAGCCCGTATTCTAATCACTACTTGGATGATTCAAAATCTATAAAGTACTGCAGACAGTAACTAAGGATAACCACTATAGATTATAGATGTTAAGTGTTTATAGTGGTTACATTGTATTTTTAGGGCATTTTTCTTTAATTCATCGTTAACGATGGTGACGCTATGCTTAATTACTTGCTCACGTATAAGTGTATTACGTTATACATTAATGACGCTCAGTTTCTGTGGTACCTAAATATCTCCAAGTAATTCTTCTGGTAATTTCGGAGCCTTTGCTTTAGGCTAACGAGTAAATGATTTTAAAGTCGTAGTTTGGAGCCAGACAGACTCGTCTGGTAGAAGAATTCCGCAGTATGCAAATTAACCCCACAGGAAAATTTCTGTAAAGGTGGGTGATATCAGCAAATAGGCCCGTGATCTCAAAGTTCGGTACGTTCCTCTGCCATTTGATTTTATTGGCAATCGGTTATTTCCTGTATTTAGACTTAAAATAGTTATTTGCATCATCTCACTTGAAAAGAAGGCCATTTTGGATCAAGCCATATGTCCAACCACTGGATTCTAATGGTTGTTTTCTTCTATGTGTATGTTTCTGCTTTTCCTCATCGATTTACAGGAGTAGCAATTGCTGCGGTTCAGTGAACGGATCGTCGTTCGTTCTTGTCTCGCGGGCGGTGTATTCTTCGTTTTTCGCGATCTGTCGCTGCAGCCTTTGACACCAGCATCGTCGATAGAGGCGCCAACGCTGAAACGATGGCTGACAGTTGGGCTGGTGCCGCGCTGAAAATGTGCTGGCCCTTGTGACAGACATTGGAACACTTAATTGTTCATCAGTTACGATTGTAATAGGTTTGTTGTAAATGTTGCGTGTGGAGTAAACCGCTCCAACCAACGTCATTCGAAATGACAAACTTCACAGCCCGAAGGGAAGGTCGACAACAATCTAACAACTGCCGCTATGATAATCACAACAGAAATGACGCCAGCAAAACGATTCTTATTGGGGTCGCTGCAGGTACGAGTTTACAATACGTTTGTTTCGAGCAACCTAATCCTCACTGAAATCATAGATAATATTTATCACTGAAGTAAACTTCTGTTATTACCATTATTGTGCCAGCCTTTGTGTCATCCTATCTCTTCCTTCACGTACTATGGTGATGCTTTGTTTATTCTGGTTTGTTCGAGTCAGTGCAGGTTGTTAATATTGGATTTGGCGTTTTTGGGCTTTGATCTGATGAGCAAATAATACAAATAACGCAGTGTCAATTTCATATGTAAATTACAATACATCACCTAGTTCACCTGTCCACAACGGTTTCCTGTCATATTTTGATAGATAATCTCCATTCTGAAGATGGTGGACCGTACCTCTGGATTTCTTTACTCTTCACTCAGATACTGGGTAACAGAACAGAATGATGAAATGAAAATACCATGAAATAGTTTTTAAGTAGGATGACTGCGTATTGATCATAACCGAATGCCGAGGCTTGTAGCAGTAAAGCTACGTTGCGTAAAGGCCCTGTGTTCTGTGGTTGAGTTTCTCCTTTATGATAATCCCGATAAATCGGTCGTTTTGGCGATGTACACGCAGGCAGACAAGCAGATATTGTCGGCTCCATTGATGTAGTCTACCATCGACTACTGCAGCCTATGTTCCTGATTTGCCACTGCCGTATGGGCGATATGAGGAACAAAAGGCTAGCTCATTACACCCAGTTTGCTACGAATTGTACACTGACCTCGTAAGCATGTTGTGTATTTTTAATGTAGACAAAACGTAACTGTTCTTGATCGTTGAAAAATTCAATAGTAATTCTGCTATCATGTAAGGCGACCTCCGCACGTGGCCTAATTGTCGAGAGTGTCATGCAGTTCCTATAGATACCTACACATTAGAGAACACGGATTAGATACCACTCGTTTCATTCTGTTCTGCCAGAACGCAATTCTAACCATTTAATAAGTTGGCGACCAGCGTACAAGCTGCATGACTGGTAATGTTCCAGCAGGTCAAGGTCAATCAGAATATCACAAATTATATAAAAACAATTCGATCATCTTTCTTGTCCATAATCATTCAATCAGTGTATATATAATCGAGTGGTAAACGAGCACTCACTTCAACGGGGGTATCGTCATTTTTGTGAAAACGTCCCTCACAGTGCACTTGCAGCCATGGCCCCATGATGCCATATTCGACGAACGTTCAGGTAAAACGATAACTTCTAGCGAAGTTACACAAAAATGAGTAAAACAAACACAACTTATGCTTTTTTCACTAGCGACTTTCTTGCTTGACTCTCTGTTAGCGCCGTTAGCATTCGCATCGCTCATGCATATAACTGTTTGGCCATATCTTTGATGAGATTAGTAGCGGTTCGTTTTGAAGCGTTAGACACTTCAATGATGACTATGTCACAAACACACAGAATATACTAGATGTCGCATTTAATTAACGAAAAGTGATTCGTAAAAAGGGTTTTTCAAGTTTTTTTTGCCATCTTGACGTGATCGGCGCAATTTTGATGTTATTATTAGATGATGTAGAACAATTAACGATCGTACAAGTTTGATTATGTGGCGTAATTGTTTTACGAAACATCAGCAGATTGAGTAAAATGGAAAGAATTTCCAGCGCTACTGTGTGAAGCGCTGTTCCGCAAACACGTTTTGTAACTTATCACATAGGAATCATATGTATGTTTATTCAGTTTATTCCAACGATATACAGTATAGCGGCTTTAGTATTAATTCTAGTAGGTTTTATAAAAGATGGACCGCGTCTTGGTAGATCTGGAGGTTGACGACGACGATAACCATTAATATTAGATAGGTAATTAACACGTCTGCTGACTGTCTTATGAGCACACTTACAGACTTTTGTTAGCAGTAACGATAGTCCGTCCATGAACTTATAAATCGGGCTTGATCGACGAATAGTAAAAGTTGTATGTCTACAGTTCAATCAACGAGCGCTTGCCAGTCCCCACATTCATTCCTCCGAAAGGCATCGACACCATTTCTGTAGCAACGATGCATTATTATTATGTTCGTCTTCTACTGGCTATGTCGTGATCAGGCTGAAAAGCAAATAAACTATTACAGATATACTTTACTAACGAAATAACTCTAAATAAATAGACTGGTAGTCTATCTACCTCTGTGGGATAAATGAGCGGCACCATTACGAATAACGGCCTAAGCGCCGCTGGAACAGCCAGTGCACGTTAGTGTACGCGCGCGTTATCGAACCGTTCTTGTTCCCGTGTTGTTATCAATGGGACACTGCCAAGCAACCGGGTCAGCTTTCCCGTTCCTTTTGCCGCTGCTGCCATTACTTACCTATAATCTCTCTGTATCCAGATTTGCTCACCGAACCACGGACAGGCAGACGTCCGATGGCCGCCCTGCTCATCCAACGACAGTAACAATGGTATGATTCATGTCACTCTTTGGCTTCGCTTTATGATGACGGGTGCATCATGAATGTCGCTCTGGTCTCGTCACGGCAACGACTCATTTATTATTATTTATTACGGCAATGACTTATTTGTTAAGTCATTATGGCAGTTAGTTGCAGCCGGTTACTGTTTCCAATTTTGCTTTATTCTTTATGCTATACTGGCGTCGTGAAACGATGCGCTGACCGCATCGGTGCAGATTGCATGCCACTGCTGCTGTTGTTGTTTATTACCGAGCCTCTGTGTAACAAGGGCAAATATTTAGAAGCGTAGATAGCGGTCATAACGATAAGAACGATCAATGGTGCTAGTGGTAACCATGGCAGGCAATAGCTACTAGGATGCAGTATGTAAATTTAAAGTAAAAGAGACTTTTAGTAACAGTAGCTATCTTTTGTTTTCTATGTTGCACTTATACAAAACTGATTAAATGAACGGCTCACTAAGGAACAAGAATTCACGTAGGGATCGAATGTTGAAGTAGGTCGAATTTGCGCCTAGCAAGGCTAGCATAACCTATATAAACCTATATAAAACCCTATAAAAAAACACAGTCTTATTACGTTTAGTTCGGTGCTTTCGGATTTTGTTATGGAGCGACTTGAGAGAGGTGATTACATGTCTCACGTTTCTTTTTCCGTGAGGGGTCAATTTTTCGACGGCTCGTATGTTTTGAGGACGGCGCCATATATTGTGTACCCTACATGTCAACGGCAGGTGAGTCTATTATTTGACGAAGTCTTTCTATCGTCCTTCAACTATGCACACACTTACAGTTGGCACTAGTAGTGGCCAAAGGCTGCTGTTGGCATCGTTAGACCAGCAGTAATAGCCAATATGCCAATGACTCCATTGTCATCCGTCGTTTCGGACGATACGAAAAAAAACTCTAAAAACACAGATAAATGGGACAGGATCAGCAGAAGGACAGATCAATGATTACAGCGTATCAGGACGTTAATACGAATTCCCCTTGCTTCCGATTGACGAGCTACTGCAACAGTGACTTTTCAGTCGGAAACTACCATGTTGTTGTGGTAAATTGCAACCTGGCCTGCTTGATCTGCGGGGTCTATCTGCTGAGTTGGCAGCACCGTATCGAACGATAATTTCAATGTTGAAAACGTTTCATTAAGTGGAAACGGAGACAACTGCTGAGAAACGGCATAGATATTTCAGAGATGATTCATGCTACGATCTTGAAAAACTATGGATTTATCGGTTTTATCGCCAATAAAAGCTGGCTGTTCTAGCAACAAGGGAATATTTAGAGTGATCTGCTACAGTATGATCTGGAAATTTTTTGTGACATATTTTGGTGCGATGGGAGAATCGTTCAGATTCAGTTTGAGCCAGAGTTGCGTTACTTCGATTGTTCTATAGCGATGCAGGAAATCGAATTTCCTAGGACATGATAACGTCTAGGTATTCCTAAAGATAATCTTCTATTAGGCCTTTTGCATAAAGCGTGACATTGTGAACTTGAACGTTTCAGTCCTTTTTCCCGGATGTAGCTTCCTATTTTCGGTTGAAGCGTGAACCACTACCCCCCTAGATTTTCTGTCGTTTGGATAGCAACTTATTTACCCCACAGCTGCAAAGCTCTGAAATACGAGATTCTATGAACCTTCGAAAGATAATTCCATTATCATACTGAGATTGGAACAGTTTTTCTATTGAGAAGTTGTCATGATTAAAAAAAAATGGTAATCTGTTTTATAGTATGATGATTGGGGAATAGCTTCAAATTGTAACTCTGAAATTTTTCCACTGCGATTATTGCGGTATTGGGTCGGAGGGTTGATAGAAGTAGCTTACTTTTGTCCACTAATCTTGTCTGCTTCACGCAAAGTTCGTTTGTATATTCGTCGTCTCTAACTGCTGACGGTATAGTGCAAATGTAATCGACTAATTCATAAAACCATAGCAGAACTATGCGCTTGCTTTAGGCTGGTGGCCAATTGGCTCTGCTGCATGCGCCCGCTGTCGTAAGAAATCTGTTTCCTATCATGAATTGACAATTTAGTGCAAGAATAGGTTACCGTTTTTACGGGATAGCAGGGAGAATTAAACGTCTCTGTTTAATTTAATTTGTCCATGTTTTGCCTTGACATCGATTAATATTTTTGCGTTTTTTTTTTACGGACACTGAACATGAGTGCTAACACCCGTGCTCTTTGAGATAGGGCGGCTTCCACCACAGCTCTAAACCCTCTCGATTGATTTGGCATGAGACTCATTCTCAAGTTAAATATTTTCTTTCCGAAATCTTTAAGCCGTCTGCTCACAATGTTTCTAATCATAGTAGAACCTTCACCGAATACAAGGCTTTATACGCCGAGCTGTTTCTGCTGCTGTAATTCCAAAATGGACCCATATTCGTCGAATTTTCTTATTTTTCATGATCCACTATAACCCATATGCGAAAAGCCCGAGAGGCGATATCCGACTCAGTGGTCTTTGATGACAAAGAAAGAATACAGGGACATTTCGAACGCAAGAAAAAGTGCCACAAAAGATTGCGCTGTTCTAAAATAGCCCCGTCTTCTTCGTTTGTCACGTTTCAAGCTGAACGACCTAATACAACGTTTAGTGAAAAAATCTGGGATTTTTTTGGAAATGCATCAGATTGCTCGAGCGGTCTAATCATGACTAAATGCATGGAATTGTCATGTAAAATATTTTCTGATAATACATCCAGGCAAGGATAATTTTTATAGTGGCGCCACGTTCGCTACTGTAAGTGTCATTATTACGAATATTTCGCACCATTGTCAAAATGACAAAAATTTTAGCCATTTAAAAGTTAATGGGCTTCTTTGTTGAATGTTACGCCTCCTATTGACGCTTGTTTAAATCCAACTGGACGGTGAACCAGTGAAGTTTGCTACCGACGGTTCTTCTATATGAGAGCTGGGGATTACAGAGAATGATAAATAATCCATGGGAATTACGAATCATTCTAATGGTACAGAATGATTTCATGTAAATTTTGTTGACTAGAACTTTAAAATAGGATCACTGATACGAAGTCCAAATCTGATTAAGCCGTTATAAGCTATAATGATTCGGATCGATCAGTGTGAAGTCATCTTCTCTGCATATCCCATTCTGATTTGAACCTTCGCTGTTTAAAGGCCGTCGACTCAAGGAGCTTCGCGCAGCACCTCGTCATCGAAATAGAATGTTTCAATTTTCTTCTTACTACCGTATGAAAGTACTGTTGAATTTTTTGTCGTAAGCCGGAACGTTGCTAGGGTGGTGTATATATAACGAGTTTTTAGTGCTAGTTAGGTGACGAGGGTCTGATAGTACTGGAAGACCGCGTTTTTTATGGAGTCTGCAGAACAGTCTACTAGTGGCAAGGACGTGCTGGTCGGCCTGGCTGAGAAAGAACAGAACTGCAGTTGCAGACTGATAGAGGCACGTATGCAATGGTCTTCATATTTTGCATAGATAGGTGCGTTACATCTGCAAAATACTTCGGACGCGTCTGTTTTGCATTACATTTCTATCTAGTTAAAATTATGCTGTCCTTGTGGTAAACTCGTGCACTTTTCCTCGGCCGAATTCCGTATTCGCCACGGTTCTTGCGTGGTTAGCCATATGTCATGGTTGAACGAAGTATTCTTTTTTGATCGCACAAAGATGTAGCCCATCAGCAAAGACTCCTGTTTTAGGTGATGGGGCGTACGATGTCAGTAACTTCATCTAAATAAAGAAGACATGAAGGCTCGCCGCGGCAGTATCATCAATAAATCAGTAAAAAAAAATTTCTCCTAATTACGATTTAATGTATTTCGCCGAAAAGCTGTCAATCTAAGACCTTCAAAAAGTGACGACTGTAAGTAGAATCAACCTAACCCTAATGCGATTTATAGCAAATTTATTAATACGAATCGATTCTGTTTCCACCTATCTGTCTATTGGCTCTTCAAGGACCGCTTGAAACCGAAAACATTTTACATAAAGTCATAGATAGCATTCAGCAGAATCATCTGAACGGTGAGACACTCACATGACGCAACACCAAAATAAGATACGTTCTATTAAGTAAATACTGTGACGTCAATTTTAATAGTTCCGTTGCTATTTTCTTGCCGTTGATGAAGAAACGGTCCTATACAACTGTATGCGTTGTTTTTGTTATATCGACTTGCGGCAGGAAATATACGGATAATGATACTTGGCCAAGACCCCCTTGTAATCGGGTCATGAACGCTATAGTAACTTCTGTTCAAAAACATTCTGTACAAAATTTATGTGCATCTTGTCCAAGGCGCACGGTTACGCACGATAGATTAAAAAACAATAGATTCGTATTAACGAATCCACTGTTTTTTAATTATATTTGACTTCAGACAATAGTCATAAGCTAGATACCGGTAACTTTTTCGTAAAGAGCCATTTTTCTGCTTTGTGACTTATCTGTAAATTGGCAGCATCCATATTGCCACCACATGGCAACAACGTGTTATCATATTTGGGATTACGGTGCTTGTCAGTATTTTGTATATAGTAACTTTCGTGAAGTCTTCGGAGGCAATATTTGGGAACAGAGAGAACAATATGTCGATATCCTTTGTGACTGAATGACGAAAGATTCGCGCGTGTTGTTCCCGTATTTGTCTGTCCGCCGTAGCGTTTCGCATCGCACAGTTCCTGTTTTCCATTGTAGGCAATATGTATAACATCCACGGTAAATAGTTACAGTTATTTGATGTTTTATAGGAGTCTCGCCAGGGCACCTTGAAGGGGCATATGCCCATTGTTTTCGGCGTTTACAAGGTTAATAGATGGCACTTAATTGACGAAATAGCGTACGTGCCTTCTGCTACGATACGATACCCGTTACATTTGAGTGCACGTACCTGTGTGATGTGTGCGTTTCAGCTCGGTGGCCATTTTCAACAGATATTGGCTCGCTGACCAGCAATGAAGAACAGCAGCAGTATCGACTGCTAAGGCTCATTAGACATACGTCAATTGTTTTGCGTCATAATTGTTGAAAATCTGTAGCTTCTCCTTCTTATCTACGAGTTACCGAAACTGCAGTCAGAGAGCGGAGGTAACGTTGATTAAAACTACGGCAACACTGAACGTTCAAGTGAGCGCCTAGTTTTTAAAACGACAATCGCGTTTCGCGCTCTCTTTTCCGCCACCGTTCCGCGTAACAACCGAAGATTATATTACACTGCGAAGCTGTACATTCTGTGGCACAAGCAGTATTGTCTGACTAAGAACAACACTAACGATGGCGACAACTGTAGAGGAAAAAATTCATTTTTTTCCTCTACAGTTAAAGTAAGCGACGAAAAGCACTAGACCGCGTTTGTACAATGGTTGATGCCGGCTAGTCAATGGTGGCGTCGCCGGCGCATGCCTTCATGACCGGCATGAACGTTTTGAATCTAAGTTCTCCTCGCTCGATGATGTCTTCAACGAAAACATTTTCGACCTTGGTTCAGTTGGCGCCTGAGTGGCGCCATTTTGGTCGTGGTAGGCCTATCTTTCCGACTTCCTTGGTTAATTGTTTTCGCTGGTCCGCTCGATGACTACAAATCTCGCCAATCGCTCTATGGATGCGTTTATCTCTGACAGTATTCTGTTGCTAGATTTAACGATAATGTTCAATTTTCCCGTTCGTGAACGAACGGGTTTCGTGGCAGGCTGGTGTGAAAGTCGTATCAGACAGATCAATTGGATCGTTGGCTTGAAGGCGCATCTGAAAATGCGTCGTAAACGACAGTGGAGAAAAGGAGCTGGTACCTAAATCTTGGTGGATTAGGCTCTTGTGCAACGTTGTAGAGCATTCTAAAATTGTCGTGGCTTATCGAAGTCTCTACAAATAATGTTTCAAGGTAGGCCCAACGTCCAATACTGTATATCTATACAAAACTGCGTCAACGAAGAATGTGTACGTAATCTACCCAGGCACTCGTCTCATTTCCTATCGTGTGATTTGTCAGCTATACCTTTTATAGTTAGATACGAAGCTAAGTTGCGGCTGTGCTCGTCTGATTTGCAAAACAAACTACGGAATGGAAAGGCCCGTTGCGGTGAGCACTATCAATTAGAAATCGATATGCGCAATCACATACAGGGCGCTCTGAAATTTGCGGTCACAGCTTCAGGAATTCATTTAATGAAGTGTTGTCTCATAGAAGCCACGAGGTGGCTATAATCATTTCGTCGCTAAAATGTTGAAAAAGATTTTGATAGATGTGATAGAAGCAGTTGCGCCTGCGATCGTATTGATGTGCTTTCGTTCGACACTCATTGAAAATCAACTGGACAAAGGTTAACGCAAGCAGTAAATCCCAGAGCACAAAACATTTTCACTTGTTTTTCATATTACAGCCAGTAATCTAAGGGCGGTTATGTATATATATAAGATTCTATCGAGGATCACTCAGAGGTTCATTGATATTAATAAAACGTTTTGTTTCAAAATTTATAATCGAAACATACTTTTTCCTTTTTACGTTGGCTGACATCTTGTTCGATTTTAAAAAAATAGATCGAGCGATAAAATAGGACGAACTTGTGCTGAACCGATAAGTGGAGCGGACGATGTTTTCAAACATGCTAATAAAGGCTTCTTGAGCTAACTCCAGAAAGAGGTAAAGATGTTAGCGATTTCACTGTATTCGACAGAGCGGTTCACAGGCACTGAAAAAGCGGATTTTTACCTTAGATAGATATTAAAAAAAAGCGTACACACTGTTGTAGAATGTTCATCTTACCGCCGATGTTTAAAGTTATTACCTCCGTGGTTAATGCATTGCTGATAATAATGGACTATTGACTCATGGGCTCCTTGAAATCCTTCAGTACCATCCGCATTCTACCCATAGACTTTATCTCTAAAATATTCCCACATGGAGAAGTCCACTGGCGTGAGGCTTGGAGAGTGGGTAGGATATTCGATGGAAGCTTTTCGTCCAGCCTATCTTTTTAGAATATCGCAGTTAAAGTATGCGCTTACATCATGTGGTGAAACAGACTGTTGCAGTCAATGCAGATTTGATCATGTATACATAATAGAAAATTATTATTTACCCCGTTCCACCAAACTATTCCAGTCTCTTCAAAATACTCCTTATTCAATCCACTAATAAATTTAATAGTAACAGTGCGTTCTGAAGTCGTTCAGATGTCGCTCAACTACTTCTGAAGTAAAGATTCAGAGAGAAGTTCAATTTTCAGCCGCTCAAAAGCCAAAGGTCCGAAAAATGCAAGGGTTAGAGTCGTCCAATAAAGACAAACGGTGTAGAAATATCAAACAGCCTAGTCAACTGGCGAAACTCTCATCTAGATGATCCGACGGGCAATTGATATTTAAAAAAGAAAGGCTGTCAATTTTTAATGGATGTACCGAAATGTCTTCGTAGATTATTTTAAGGAATTCTCAAGCTCTTCAAATTTAAATTCGATTAAATTGGCTTCCTAAATATCTTTTTTGGCCTTTGCTGAAGCTGATCAGCAATGTTTGGACAGAAGGACCTTCATAATTTCTGTGGGAGATCGTTTCGCGTAAACACACCGGATAATAGCAGATTTTCGCTCGAATTCCGGAAACGATGCTGTATTTCACGATGACTAGTTTTCTGCTTTCCTTCCGAAAAAGATTGGTTTTCTCCCGGTATCAAAAATAGTGAGTGAATTACTGCCTGCTACAACAAACAAGACATGAAATTTCGCTCGAATTTGAATGCTTTTTATATGTACAGAGCGGTATGAATTGTCGTGCGCTTACTGCAGGACAAGCTGCAGGTCAAGGGGAGGATTTTCGGATAGACGGCTGGCAAGCCATGAATATCTTTGTGAAACGAGGTCATTTGGTAACAGTATTCATGATTTCGGTCCGCCAAGGACTACAAAAATTTCTATACATTCATACATATATATGCGCATGTCAAACAAGATCGTTTTTTGCAATAAAAACAGTGCCTGTCATAGAATTACATGATAATTCGTGAGATGTCGTTTGTGATTTTTGCATAGATCTTAATGTGTAGCGTCTAAAATGAACACTGACGCCACATAATTTCATTAAAAAGGCTTAAGCTTTATTTCTTAGGCCCTATAACCCTCTCGGAAAGTGATTTCTAGTCATAAAACATCCGCGTTTGATGTAATGCGTTCTTATGTATTACATGATTAACTGAAATCAGGGTAGAAGTGGTTTGGTATCAGTTTGCGGCGGCATTAAATAATAATAAACATTTTTGCCTTTAGATTTCCACGCCTTCTTTGTCAACGAAACGTCAAATGCGCGATACACGGAACGTATATGCGTATTTCTTTATTACAGTTCCAGTGTGATAATTGTATAGGCGCAGAGCTGATCGAATGGTTCTCGTTCTCATCATTCTATAATATTTACCTGCTACACGCGTAGATAATGCGTACGCAATACGTTCGCTTAGAGGCCACCCGGTTTGTATGACAAAAACGTCAAATACCGTCGTGATAATGATAATAATAATAAACCTTGCTAGTTTTAGCAAGCCTCCCAATGTGTCGGGTTGTTTTTTATTTAACCGTGTGGAACCGAATGGTTCCACGCGGTTAAATAGAAAAGAAGTCTTTCTTTTCGTCCGTTTTTCAGACTGAATTGCTTTGCTAATTCGTGTTCTGGATCAACTCATTTAGGTACTGTTAATACTAGAATACATAATTATATTATAATATAAATGGTTAGTTGCGAGTAGATGTACGAAGTAAAAAGGGGCCCAAACTAATTCCGAAAGGGAAATATTTTCTTGGCGTAATATTTCGAGTACAGTATGGTACATGCCTTCTTGACCTCGTCCTTTGCTGAAGTGTTTGAAGTCTTTACCCTGCGCCGCTCGAACCCACACAGTTCGTTGTAGTTTTGTACGAACGAATTTATATTCATTATTATTGATGTACTACTTCTTACAATCATTATTTTCGTATTATATCGCTCATAGACACTGTGATATGTTATTGCTACCGACATATTAAACTAGCATGTCGATTATATTGAACTATGTATACTCCATATAGAAGAAATCAGGTGACATATTTCCTAGAAATGCATCTTCTACTACTGGGCTGACAAAATTCATATTTTAAGATTATGTGTCAGCGTCATATTGGTCTTCCTATTGCTATTACAGGTGTTATTGTGGCCCTTAGTCAACCCGTGGGATTGTACGCCACCGCGTCGAGCGGCTTGGGCATGATGGGCCGCCTTTCGCTTGCTTCCCGTTCGTCTTCTTTCGGGCACCTTCCTCATAAGTATTCGATATGTGGGAACTACTCCCAGTTCAATCTAGAGGGATACGTAAGTTGTCCAGCTTCAGTTAGCCTTTGTTCCATCGAAGATACTGGCACAGATGTAAGAGGGTGCGCCCTATACTATCTACGCTACCTGAATTAAACACAGTAGAACCATTTGTCACCATCTTATTAAGCTCGCTTAATGGGATCCTCCATCGAAAGACACAAAAGTCCTGAGACGACTGCACCCATGCAGGGCTATCTGCGTAGCACCCCAAGTTTGCTATTCATCACTGTCGACTTGCTGAAATAGAAAAGAAAAGCTACTCGATGTAGCTCGAAACGCGAGACTTCACATTTCTTATAACTGGTAATTACATGCGGGTCTTCAGATCGTTAGTCCGGATGCGACGCTGGATGAGCATGAGGATGTGAATTGCACGTTAGAAATTAAGGCTGACGAGTCAGAAGTAATCACGATACATTTCATGGAGTTCGCCATTGGTAAGGAGAACCAATTTCAGGTCATATTTTATTAAAATGACAGTGTACTCTATATTCCGTTTGCATAACATTTTTATTCTTTATTATTATTTTCTTTTATTTATATTAGCATTATTTTTTTCGTTATGGCAGTTGCTGTCCTTAACACGTCATCATTCTAGTATTGATTTCGTACCACTCCTTCTGTCATCTCTTTTGTATCGCAGAGGGACCAGAAATGGAGCAGGGCCCTCCACGATTAACGGTGTGTGGCAGCCTTTGGGAGCCAGGTTCGGTGCCTCCCTGCTGTCTGGGAGCGATGCTCAAGGTGGCCGAATTACGTTCTTCTAAGGGCCGCTTGCGTGATGCTTTGAGGGGTCACTCGGCAAGCCTGACTGGAGATAAAGTTCAGCAAAATTTTTACTGCGGTAAGGGACCACATGCGCCTCAACCGTTTTTGTCGGTGGGCAACGGAGCGTCAATACAATTCGTTAGTGTGGGAGCCCTAAGTCCAAGGGGACACAATGCGACTCGGTCGTTTCGGCTGCATTATCTCGTGTCCAAGGTGGGTGGCAGTTGCGCCGAACGAGAGTTCCAATGCCTTAGCGACAGAAAATGCATACCTGAATCATGGAAATGTAATATGCTTCGTGAATGTGAGGACGGCTCCGATGAGAAAGGATGCAATCTACCCCTAGATACACGTGAAGGGTCACATAGGGACGGACAGGAAACGCATCAGCAATTAGGATCAGGCGGAAGCAGGACCCGGGGTGAAATATACACTAATCCGTATCCTGTACTAGGAATGGGGATTGGTATTGGTCAAGGAGAATACCGAATCAGTGAGTAGACATTGATCGATTAAGTCGAATACTATTGTAGATGATTATTTTAAACCGCATCGCGTTATACACGTAGGTACATCGGCGAATCGTGAAGACTGATCGTTTAGTCGTGTTTATGTAGAAACAGTTCAATGTAGGTCTAATTTCAAAAGGTATTTTTCTGTTGAGCACATGCTAAGATAAAATCTAAACGGTTTGTTCTTTGTGCAACTTAGATCGACTAAGTTGAAAGCTCTACTAATCAATGATCATGACCAATGATCGTCGGCGAGCTCATAATAAAACCATTAGATCATGCCAAGTAGCCGGAGCGATTCGATGTAAGGAGAAAAAAAGACTAACCGGAATTGGGCGACCCAAAGCAGCATTACAATATTTATAACACGTCTAACGTGCACTTTGATTTGGGCCTAATTTATAGAGCACGACTGTGCAGATCGTGAAGATTTTCCCTGTGGGACGCGCTCCAAGGAGTGCTTCTCGATACAGCAGCATTGCGATGGGGTGTTCGACTGTCCAAACAAATACGATGAGCTCCGATGTCCTCCAAGGGCCATAGACCCTCCTGCTATTTATACCCTTTGCAAGAAATTCAAAGGCAACGCTACTAGGTGTTCCCCCAGCAGTCTTTACTGTTACAGCAGGGACACGCATTGTAATGGGTTTGTATTATCATTTTACTGTTAAATCGGTCATTGGAGAAATAATTGATGACTGTTGTCAATCATTTCATTGCTATATACGTTATCAACCTGTGTATGTAAAATGAGGCTGAGACTGCTGTGACATTTATACAAAGTACCGATACGGATAGTTCAAAAAGTTGTGCAAAAAAGACTCATGAGGCAATTTATTTTCGTTAGCCCAATGCTTGCTTCAGTCCGTTCGTTCTCTATGGGAAACGTATTTTCATTATACCGTTAAAAATGAGGATAATCTAGTAAACCAACGTAAAAACAGCTTTCACAACGAGCTCTCGTACAACGAGTTACCGCTTCCTACTTGCATGATATACGACCGTAGCATTCTAACGTCATAACCCATATCGTAGAAACATGGCATGAATTCTTCGATTTTACTAATTCTTTTTTATTTTTTCTCTTCCATCCCACAGAGTGTTGGATTGCCCCCGAGGCGAAGATGAACGGGGTTGCGATTCCCGCTGTCCTGAACTGATTCCCTGTCGAGGCGACGATCCGTGTGGCTTTCTCGAAGAGCAACGCTGCAATGGCCACGACGAATGTCGTGACGGTTTCGACGAGATGAACTGCCAGAGAGAATCGTGCGAACACCGCCATGGCGGTTTTCTCTGCAGCGACGGACGTTGCATCGCACTCGATCGTCGGTGCGACCACGCCGTCGACTGCGCTGGCGCCGACGATGAAATGTACTGCATTAAGAACTCGGTCATAACGGCTGCTATTATGGGTTCGTTAGTTTGCGGTATCTTAATCGTTATAGCAATTTCCTGTACCTGTCGCCTGTACGCTCTCCGATTGATTTCATACCAACGTCAACAGAACTGTTCCAGTGCTTCCGGTACCAATACGTCTGACAATGGAGGTGGCCACCATGACGGTGAGCGTTTCCGCCGACGCAGCTCGATCTCGGATTCGGATCTGCTGCGTTTCGATGCGCTACAAGATCTCTATTGCTATTACGGTTTCCGGGACCCACCTCCACCATACAGCGTAGCCGTGGCCGGTGACCCGCCCGCGATACCACCACCTCCACTAGGTTCTTCGGGACGCCGTCGTCGTTCACGGGCGCACCATTCTCGTATCTATGCGCGGCGAAGTTCGAGTAACCCTGCCGGCAGTGGGCCAGAATTTGGCCCTTCAGGTAGCGGTCGTTCGGGAACTCCGCCGTCTTCATCAGCCGAACCTCTTCCCCCGCCATCTTTGTCGCCTTCGCCGTCGCTGGATGCTCCGGAATCACCGAAACAGGGCACATCTTCACAGCACAGTCAGTCACGATCAGCGTTCCAGGAACAGCCCCACTTGCAGCAAATGGCATCGTCGAGCAGTAACGACGGCCCTAGTGTGCCGTCGCCGAATTGCGACAACGCACGTGATGCTGCTAGCTACCGGCGACAGACTTCGCTTGGTCGAAACCATCGAGACTATTCGCCATCACAAACGACCGATAAGTTAGTAGACAGGACAACAACGACGATAAATGTTTGTGAGGATAATGCGCGAGAATCACATCAGAGGTAAAGGATCACTTCCAGCGGGTTACCCCGTCTCGTTTCTGGCGGCATGTCTTCTATACCGCAACATATCAATTATTATAGCACATATGTAGAAAACCGAGTTAATATCATTAATGTGCTTCTATTATGTATTGTTAATAGGTTAGCATAATTTCTGTCAGTTGTTGTCGGTCATCGAAAAGGTAATTTGTATTAATCGCACATTTTACTTGTTTCGCGTTCCACAGAGACGCGAGGGAGCATCTCAACGCGCCAGTTCATTGCGTGCATTCAACGGATCTGGGCGGATCAGGGAATGTCTCGACAACGGAGATAGAGTTCTCAGTTCTTCCCCTTCGGTCTCTATCGGATCGGCAATCCCAGTCGGTTATAGCTGTTGGGGTCGAGGTCACGTCACCCACTACCGACGATCAGCCTCTTATCGCTGAATAAGCCAAGGTTTCAAAGTAACGAAACCGGTCAGCAAACAAAGATAAATCAAGTCATGAACATTTTCTACAATAATCGTATGATGATTCACAATGTACATGATGTCACAGTGATTGAACGACGACATCATTGTCGACTGCCTGCTGCTCATGAGCGGCGGCCAGAGAAGTTCACGATTCCTACATCCCACCTTTAGACAGGGACCTGCTTTCTGAGAGAAGGACCTCTTCTGGGCGCACTCATTCGCATGAAAGGACGGAGTTCACTTGTAATGAGGATCGACTTGTGGAACACGGGCGATACATTATGATTGTGACACAATCTCGGTAGAGGGACTCGCGCCATTAAACCGTTTTCTTGTCAACAGCCTTAAAACGAAAAGGAATTGTTGCTACTGCCAATCGTCGGTGCGCTTTCTACGGATGCTCGTTAAGACCCGTAATCAATGTAATGCGTAAAGTGAATAAACCCTAGATCCAGTCCAAGTCTAGATATATAAGTAAGTAGAGCTTTACTATTTGTCTCTATCACAACTGTTATGGTTTGAATTCTGTCAAAAAATATTGTCCCGTAGAAATGCTGAAGATATTTTTTGAAGGCAGAGATTATCATCAATATCGTACGGTTTTTTAACGCTTGAGACAGTTGCTACATGAAACAACGTGACTATAGGATCAATTAGACTGACAGGTATGCATGAGAATACTGTGATTAGATACCTTAGAAATAAATCCTTAAACCAATAGGTGAACGTTCACGTCAACCAGTCGATGTGGACACAACCAAGAAATAGAGCGTACTTCAATGCAAGCTGTTCAGGATACACGGCTAGGACCACGACAAGGATGAAAAAACACGCAGAATATTCGAGGGACGCACAGGTCTCTTCTAGTCCGACGTTTGATTGATGATACGAATGCGTCCATCGTCAGTGGCGAGTGATACTTCTCGATTAAACAAAGCGGAGTTTTACTACCGAATAACACAACTAATGTACCCTTCGGTTTTGTTTCTTGCTCGCGCGCGCCGTGTCTCTATGCTATTTCCAAGAGTTTCTTTGTCACTTGAGTTTACAGAGAACAATAGCAGAGGTAGAAATTGAACCATCTACAATGAATAATCCTTGCGGTAGAAAAGCTATCGGTGAAAGTTGTCGCCTTTCAGCTCATCATCCATTTAATGGAACGAGAAAAGAGAAAAGTCAGCAGTGTAACAGCGGCAGCAGGGTCGACGTTGTTGACGTTTAAATACGACAGACTTCTACTCTGAGTGGCTATACGTATCTAGATAACTGGCTGAGGACTTTGCCCAAAGCAAGGGTAGAAGACGTGGAGCTGCTACGTCGATTGACGGCTAAGATGTACTTATTTCGCATTCGCGAACTAGTACTGTGCTAGATAACAGGATAGAACTGCAGCCGCATGCAGAAATAGACCGATAGTTGTGTACACATAGGAGTGGCGATGGCAACGAAGGCATCGTCTGCGGCATCGAGCGATGCGTGGAAGGATCTAATGCGAAAAAAACGAAACGATACGTACAAACACGAAACGTCCTCGAGAGGAGCAATCCGTCGCTGTTATAGGATTTACAAAACGATACGAGCGCATAGATTTAATGACTGGCGGGTGACGATCCTAATGACAGAGCAAGCAATGTATGACGAACGACTCAATTCCAAGGGAAAATAGAGACGGCTTATTCTGAGCTCACACGCAACATGAACGAAATTATGACGAATCAACAATTACAATGGTGATTATTGTAATTTAATGTCCATTTCTTAATATACAGCAGACGTACTGTATCATGGTTGATTGTTCTAACCGACAACGCCGAGCAGTCAATATAGTAAAAATCTCTCATTACGCTACTATTGTACAACCATCACGTACTGCAAATAACAATAATCATTACCATTATTTCGACGAGAGGAACAACCAAAACCTTGCGTGTAATAACAGCTGATGCAACAACTCTTCACCAATCTTCATAGTTATACATTTGGCAATATTTTGTATTGATAGACATTTATTCATTTCGTTACTAAATGACGATGGTGACTTTTCAAAAGCCTAAATCTCACCGAGCTAATATTCCGCATGATGAGATGACTAAGTATGATTTTGTACATGCTAAGAACGTCTGCACGCATACACGTGCACAAACCCACACAGATATCTATATGTAATCCACTGTGTGTGAAGGAAGATGATTGTATTCAGTTAGCTGTTGCGGATTATGATTTTTCTATGTTTGCTAGAATTGCCATTAAAACTACCGCTGCTGCTGTTGTCTGTAC